AAGCAAATTCAAGAGTGTCGTAACGAGCTGTGTAAGATATATTGAGTATTGATTGACTTAATGAACTATAGTATGATTGACAGAAAAGCTTTATTGCCTGATGGACGCGTCAATATCTCGTTGTTCAGTACAATTACAGCCATTTCTAACTTAATTTCTATAATCGAATCGTATTTGATGGCTTTCTATACGTTTAATAGTTTTTTAAATTGAAGTTATTAGACTTCGTGTTTCTGTAACATTTTGCTGAATTCTTCGAGATCAATCTTGCCATCACCATTGCGATCCATTTGGTAGACAAGTTCCCGTACATCATCATGATCAAGTGCTTGACCTAATGTTTTAAAGATTGAAACAAACTCGTCTACCGAGATCGTTCGACTATTGTCAGCATCGACCATATGAAAAATCTCTTCCACCAACTCTTCTTTCGAATGTCGACTTTCTTGGATTCGAGCATTGCACCACTTATAAAAAGCCTCAAATGTTATTTCCTCTGGTCCTTCCACAACAATATTATTGTCATTGTTTCCATTAGTGTCCGTTTCTATCTCTTCCGTAACTAAATCGGTCATTAACCGAGTCAGTTGCATATCATCTAAATCGTGGGTAATTGCGAGTAAAAGACTAGCCATTTCATCTCGTGAGACAGAGCCAGACCCATCAACATCAAAAAGACAAAAGATGGTATGAATCTCACGTCGTTCCATTTCTCGACGGTACGCATCCCCACGTTTTTCTCGTGGTGTTAAGTACGCAGCTATTGGAGATAAAGGTGGTTCAATTATTGCTTGAGGGGATGTAGGAAGCGGTAAAGGTGTTTGTTGGATAGACCGCAATACTCCTGCAGTAACGAATGGATCAAGATGAATTGAAGATCGACGACGAGCAGCATTGAACGTGGCACTGGCATCAATTGGCACAATGCTGGAACGTCGACGATTTAGTTGTTGAACTGGCACATCGGATTTATTGTCGATCTCAACTAATATTTGGTCATTATTGCGTCGTACATTTTCACGTAAATGAATTTTCATTTCAGCGACAAAACGAAGAGTTCGTAATGTTTGTCGTGCACGAAGGAGTCGAGTAACTTGTACGATCACTTGCGAGACTTTAAGATGTTCCACATTAAATGCTAATAACCCATCCCGTGCAATGCGAGTGGACATATAAGGAACAGCGATACTAGGGAGCAAAAATAAAGTCCATAAAAGCGTCACAATAGCATAATGGTCCCCAAAAAGATTCGCAATGTGATCTATTTCGCGAAGTAAGAACGTTGATAAATGCAATGCCGTAAGTAAAAATACCAATCGGGTCGAAAAAAGAGCTAAGACTACCCCATTGCCTGATCCAGCACCAATAAGACTTCGTTGAAGACGTTGTAGATCTTTAATTGAAAGATCACGTCCACCATTAGGAAGCATTTTTACATAAGGTGGAATCCAACTATTGATCTCATGGTCAGAATCAGCCAAAAGCCATGACTTTTCATTGTTTGAAGGAAGTGATGGTAAATGATGTAATGAACGCCATTCAGGTTTGTGACGTAATCTTTCCGCATCATATCGAAGACGAGGAGGAGTGAGAAGACATCTCATGGTATGCACCCGACGGTATACAAATTCATTGAGTGCAATAAGTGAAAAACCAGCAAATAAAACAATCACAACTTCACCACGAGGTCCTGCATGCCAACACAAACCTAATAGCGCAACAAGTACGACATCCAAAGCAAGCCAAGTTGCCATGTCAATTTGAATTAATCGTCCCATGACTTCACCTGAAATGATTGAAAGATATTCATTAAATGGAAATCGTGAGTCATCTCCTTGAACTTGAAAGTCGTTCGCAAGAAAACGTGCCGTCTCTTCGTCAGGATGATTTGAATGGTAATCAACAAAACGACGTCTTAAAGCCAAATATACGACTTCCCGTTCAGCTTTTCTTGCGGCTGCAATCCGATGCCATGACATACGATGAATCCATGAAGTTGGTGGTTCCGTTACAAGTGCATACTCGGAAAGGACGGAAGGAATGTCGGCACTACTACGTTCAAACTCGCGCCATTCGTGCTGCACGTACATTCCAAGACGGAGTAATCCGAGACAGAGTACAAGAAAAATGACAATAAAAAGAAACAATGCCATGTGAAGCTTTTCAATGATCTCTTGCAGTTCTGTATTGCTACTCAAGACTGCTCTCGAAAGCCACGGAAGCACTTCAATCTTAGTCACCACAAAGAGCAACAATCCGATAAATCCCAATGTCGTGAGTTCTCCAAACACTGTGTTGACAAATGGCATATTGAGTTCATCCGTGTGTTCTTTCAGCTGCTCCGTTGCGATCTCAAAGAGAATGGAAATGGCCACGAGCGTCGAGATGGTCACCGCTGCTACAATCCCCACTCGTCCACTATCTATTTCCTCGGCTTCATTCTCTTTATCATGTTCAAAAGGTGGGGTATCACCTTCTTGACTTGTTACTAGTGCTACACATAGCACGAGGAGCCACGAGACTCTTATCACTGAAAGTGACGTAGTGTTCATGCCAAGAAAAAGCAAATGTACTGCAAAATGATAGAATTCTAATCACAAAAAGATCCAAACCTCACATCTTTCAAGATTGCGTCTTTTCAAGATTGCGTCTCTTCATGATCGCATACGAAAAACAAGTTGATCAAACCAATTGAACTTTATTCAGTGTTAAACTTATAAAACGTGTGGCTACAAATAAGTCTACAGACTAAAGCTGCGGATAGACGGACTTGGGGCCAACAATGCCGCACGTGCCAGAACTTTCGATGCCATCGCCGCGTTTAAGCCGCATATAGCCACTTTCGCCCCATTGAGTGCTCCACGAATTCTTGATTTTGAAGTATGAAGATGTGTAACCCACAGCTAGCACAGCGTGATCAAGTTGGGAGGATGTACAGGAAGACACGATACCGCTTTTATACTGTTTCCACGTAGGATTTCCAGCTGCGACACCCACGGCCACGGGACGACCGCTTAAGGCACGAACTAAACCTGCATCGCTCTCTGGAACTGCAACGACACTACGAATAGTTGGGGTCTGAGGAGTACAAGAAGTCTGACACGTTTCACGATCGCCTGAAGTACCCGACACGTACGGATACGACTCTTCTGTACAGACCCCGTCAGTCTGTTGAATAAAAGATAGTGCATCGCCAGGAAACCCGCCTTGACATGCATACGAAGATTCATCGCAATCGATCAGTTGCTGCTCAGAGAGAGGGATCAGAGGTTTTCCAGCAAGACAAATGGCACTCTCGAGAGCTCCAACAGCTGCAAATGCCCAGCAAGAACCACATTGGCCTTGATTCTTAACTTGAGTGACACAACCAGATGCGGTCCAATCTTTAGCAGCAGCAAGAGGTTCCGTTGAGTTGGACGAGATGTCGTCTGGTAAAGAAGCGTTTGGGAAATTCGTCGACCCGCGTTGGTTCGACTCACCAACAAACGTAGCGAATTCAGTCTCAGTCATCAAAGTGAATGGCGTCTCTATCGAAAACAAAGCCTCAGGATTTGTTGCTTGAGCCTCTTCAATTAGTAATTTGGCGAGAAAGAAACGACGTAATTCTTCATCGAATCCTAAATCAGCAGATCTAGAATTCGACGTTGGAATGAAACCGTGCTCTTTAGCGTACTGACCAGCATCGCTTTGCTTCCAAGTGCTCAGTTCAGATGCAAGTTCGGATTTCGTGAGTAGAAATTCCGCCATTCGATTCGTTGGGACTGGTGGAACGGAAGCGTCAGCAGTGTTTAAAGCAGCGAATGCGAGCAGAAGTGTGAGTTTCATATTGCTTGAGAGAGGTGGAGGAAATTCACGAATGAGTTGAGAGAATCGGCATTAACCACGAAACATGTTCTTGATGTGGATCGCAATGTGTTGATGTTGGACAATGAGAACAAGAGGGCCTTTGCTCTGAAGGTGAATATTTTGTCGCGCTTGTAATCAGATTTTCACGTCTGTGCTTCAACGAGGATCATGATTGTGACTTTTCGTGATAAGTGTAATCAGAAATCGACTGACTTTTCAGCCAAATGTTGGCGGTACATTGATCACTACTATCAAAGTAAAAAATGACGTCGTGATCTTGGAAAGATGAGTGCAGGACAAAAGGTTTGATCTTCTAGCAAAAAATCCTTTTAAGGTGATGAGTTTTTATGCTTCGGACTTGATACAATGGATCCATTCAGCAATAGTAGCGTGAAATGAAATGGGGAATCGGTCAACGTTACCGCAAACGTACGCTTTGAAGTCAGAGCGGCGTATGATGCATATTTTATTTTGCATCCATTCTGACCGTATCAAGTCTTGGGATCGTAAGGCGAATGAATTTAATTTGCATGACTTCTTGTCGTTAGTCTGTAGATTCAAAGCAAATTTCGAAGTGATATTGATGTTTGATGCTTGTTCTAAATCGTGAATATCGTCAGTTGGTACTTTGAACGCGTGCTTTTTGCTTTTAAGATAGCACTTGATCGTACTTTACTCGATAATGATACTGCATGATCCTCTCAGCAGACATGCATTCGCCAGGACCTCATGTGCTGTTCACGAGTCGACTATAAGAGCTTTCTAATGCTAAAGCAGATTTTTCTTGCTAAAAGAAGCTTTGATTGATCTATTGGTGAAGCTTGTCCTTCTTCCCTTTATGTACACAGTAAAGCTTTTTTTTAGCTTTTACTACGACGCTAGCCAGACGTCATTAGAGTTATTTGTGAATGGACATCGATGCTTGAGGAAGTCTTGTTTGAGACCTTCAACTTTTTTGCGTTTGTTGCTGACAGCTCTCACCTTATTGGTCTCTTGATCATCTTTTGGACTCAGCCACTTGTTTCCTTACTTTTACTCGCTTTTCTTGTGGCTTTTCATCGACACTACGTCTTTTATCAAGTACAGAGCAGTAGGAAGAATTTTACAAGTAGTCTGTTGTCTTTATACTGCACCAAAAAAATGGGAGCTTAGCGCTCAAAATTTCACCTCCATGAAGATTCAAGGCTTCATTTTGACGTCAACACATGCCTTAGATTTACAATAATGACATGCTTCTAGCTATTTTATGAATACACACCAACGTTTCCACAAGGCAATACTATCAAATGACTAGATTACTCTCTAAATCGCATTTGTAGTTACTTATCTCGGCAATATTATGCGCACATTTCATAAAAACTTGTCGCAATATAATCGACATCGTGCTACCTCCGATATTCTTCGACATACGCTTGAGCATAAGATCGTCAAGATTGTCCAATACATCAACAATCACGTCGCTAGTTGCGAGCTTTGCGTCTACCCAATCTTTCTCACGATACCCGAGACCCCGTCAAAACAAAAATAGTTGCAGATTGGCTCGTCCTTTTGCGAAATGGCCTTAATGACCTCTTGACCAAGAATTCCAGCCACAATCGCGCAGACTGGTACAAGATCGATGTCAGCAGCACGCAACAATTGTCTACAGCACCACTTTTACTTAGTTTTCACCCTCATTGTTATATTTAGTCAATTGCAACGCACTGCAGCTCATCCAACGTCATATAATCGTCCCCCAGTCCGTTCTTTTCAAACTCCTCTCTCGCATACCGAATAAAGTCTACAACAAGATCCTCAGTAATCTTCTGAATGCCTTTGACGCTCTTGTATCCCTGCAACACTGCACGTCCATAAGATTGATGCTCAAAATTTTTTTATGCTACGACGCACATTGATTTTTGACAAAAACTTTTGGTAATTGTGGCGCACGCTTCCGGGCACTTTGTAAGGAGCTCCACTTGATCTTTTGGGCCTGTTCCAATGTCGGAAATGTGACTGGTATTGGATCACTTGTGGCTACATCGGTCCCTATGGCATCACGGCGGAACGTGTAGTTGCCCAGATCAGCAAACACAATACCATCAAACCCAAAGGTCCTGGCAGCATAAAAAGCTATTCCTAACGATCGACAGAGCACATCCAGTCTCAACTCGGTACTTTGCGCAGCTCCTATCAGACACACGACTGTAAATTGCTTGAAATAGTCATCAGAATAATCTTCTAGCGCCTTTGTCTCGCACAGAACTTTTGCCAGTGGGTTTAGCTCTTGTACACGAGGCAGACAGGCCTCAGCGCGCTAATTATTTTCGGGATTCATTGCGGAATCGGTAAGATTTTGGTCAAGAATGAAGCATAGTGACATTCACTCTCACGTACATTTTTTCCGACATCGTCATCAGACAATAAAAACTGTATGGATGCAGCTGCGTGCGTTGTAATTTTAAGGTCATGTAGCGTCACATTGATTCCCGCCAAAACAAGATTCTTGACGAGTTCAGAACCTAAAGCCGAGAGTCCGCTTATTAATACGTGTGAGTTTTGAAGACGCTTTTGAGCTTCAACACCCCATAGACGCATCTGTCGGTCATATAGGGCCGCTTCTTCCACGCTGAAAGTCGTCGCCTGCTCCGTCATTTCTTCTTTCAAGGAAGTCATGCTGAATTAGCGACCAGTAGTTCGGACTTAATCGGGATCCGGACTTAGCACTCTATTGATTTAGCCACGTTGAATAGTAAACCGAGATATTTACCATAATGTACAATATGTTACGTTGATTTTCGGAGGTTGTTTCTAACATCTCTTACATAATTTTGGAATTACTTTATGATTTGCATTACATTTGGCATTTCATTCTTCATTTAACTGAAAGCAAACGTATTATTTAGTATCAAGCGTTATTACGTCATTCAGTTTACATATTAATTATTCGTCTGCAAAGTGTCCCTGTAAATTACTCTCTGATCCATAATTTTCCGTGTATGTCCTGTGGCCATGCTTTTTCTTTAAGTAGGGCGACGTATTCTCATCGTTGCTGCTGCAGACACTAAGAATCGAGTTGGAGAAAGCTTTGAGGCCCTTTTGTCGTAATTCCTTTTCACCTTCGACGAAAATCATTGAGAGTCCAGCTTCCAGATGCCAGTCAATGTGGCAGTGAAAAATCCACACCCCCGGGTTGTCAGCGTTAAATCGTAATACTAGGTATCCGACGTCGAGACAACCTCCGTTATTATCGGATGTACAAGGTGGCACTGTGTACACGTCGCGTGTCATCGGGTTTATCAGTTTTGGACTCGGTAGAATTTTTTTCCGAACGTGTTCAATAGACGCTACACCGCAGCCTACAACCCACGGCGAGTGGGTATGCATATGAAATGGATGTTGTTCATCCTTGATGTTGACAAGGACAACTTCAATGTGCTTGCCATACTCAATTTTACGAGCATTGGCTTCCACTGGAAGCTGCTCAGTTGTCAAGCCTTTTGCGATCGAAAAGAGTGGAGCTTCAGTCGGGTGCACAAAGTGATGATACTGTCCTCCGTCAATAGCAATATGACCAAGACCATTTTCCATCTTAAACTCGACAACGACTCGGTCTGCCGGGATTTCTGGAAGCACGATTGGTAGCTGTGGTTTAAAGTCAAATTCACTGACCGTTGTCAGCTTCTCTTGCTTCGTAGAGGTTGGATAGACTTCGTCCCGCTTCGTTAGTGATGTTGCACCAATCTCGCCTCCCGATTCGTAGGAAATCACAGCAAGACCTTCGTAAGTGTAACCCTCACCAGCGGTCGTAGCGTTTCCTCGAGTCCACGGCAAACCGTGTAGTCCATTTGCACGCATCCAAAAAGAGCCCATGGCCTCCTGATGAGCTGGAGATTTTGCTTCAACAATGATATCGTATCGGTGGCCAGTGTTAAGAGTGACTGAATTTATAAATTCGGAAGGCTGGAGTTGGTCACCGTCAGCTACAACAACTTGGAAATCATGGCCATCAATGCTGAATTCAATGGGAGATAAGGCAGCCATGTTAATAAGACGGAGGAGATACTTTTGACCAGCTTGAAAGTGTAATTTTGAAAGTGGTTGGTTGTCGGTACATTTTGTGAAATTGTGATGAGCAGCAGCAACGCAACTGTACCGACCACGATTGTTGATGAGAATGTTATCCCACATACGCACTTGTAGCGGCTCTCGATGATACAAATCCGCCATTTGAACAACAAATTCGGCGTCAATGTCCTTCATCCAACTTTGCTGTTGGTTTGCCGGGGTACGCACTATAAGAGGACCTCGAAGTCCATATGCATACTGTGACATGTGATGACTGTGCCACCAAAACGTTCCAGCTTTATCAGGTTGAAAGTGATAGACTGCCGTTCCGTTTGGAGCAATGTGACATTGTGTAATCTCGGACGAACCGTCCATCTCCTGGGTACCAAGTTGCTTCAGTCCATGCCAATGTAAACATGAGGGTTCATCAATTTGATTTGTCACGCGGACTTCTACTTCTTGACCCAGCACAACATCAATCACAGCTTGATCAGCAGGTTTGTCGTTAATGCCGATGGAGTGAATGAAAACTCCGTCATATTCGCTGTAGAGAGACGTAATACGCCAGTCATAACTGACAACATCAGCCATACTGCAATGAAGCTGAAGAACTTGTAAAACTGCTACGAAGACAATCAGATAGTTGAGACCTTTAGCTCGATTTCTCATTATTTCTGATGGATGGTTTTTGGTGTTGACGCAGAATTTATTGAGGCAGATTCGAGATGAAATGGTAAGTGCTTTCATAATTGGCGTGGCTCATGTATAGTGTTGTGCTCCATGCTGGGGCGAGCGCATGCTCATACACCACATACAGATGCTTGTAACATGCGAGTCCATAAAAGTTTATGATAAGGTGTTTACAATCGTACACCAATTGCATAATCTGTCCTGTTTCGTATGTACATGGAATAAGCAATTAGATATTTGATATTCTACTACAAAATTCAATATAATAAAATAACTTACCATTAAATTGCACGAGTATGCAGAAGGGACACCTTATGTTATGTAAAGACGAACAGTCGTATTACAACGTCACGCCACGAACGTACTAACTATCGATTAAGGTGGACAAGTCGCTAAGTATGTGGACTATGTACCAATAGATTACCTCTTCAC